AGAGGGGGGACGGGTGACAGAGGGAGAGGGAATCCCAAGCAGACTCCCTGATGAGTGTGGAACCCAACATGGGGCTTGATCCCAGGACCCTGGAGCTGAAGTCAAGAGTCAGATTTAGCCAACTTAACCACCCAGGTGCCTCTTGTGGGTATTTTTTATATTGACTCTGGTAGTTGAGGCATTTGTAAAGAGAGATAAGCCATCATGGTCTAAGGATGTTGCTTTCTGGTCTTACTTGAAAATAAGAAAGCTTTGAAGTAGAGAATAAGCCCTTCTCTTAATGTCATCTTGGATCAGTTGTTAAACTGCTGTTCCCTAGCTCCTAATCAGACAACCTGGTTCTGGTTGAGTGAATGTCTGGACCACAGATATTATATTCTGTTTTCTTGACTGAAATCAGAGCCATAGGTCTCCCATCTCAGATGTAGAGGATACTGTTGGCTTTATTGGAGGTCAGTGTGCCTGACTTTGGTTCTGCCCCTGGGAAATGGAGCTCTTAATCAAGGAAGTGATGAGATATGGGGCTCACCCCATACCTTTGGGAGGGTTTAAAATTTTCCTAAGTTTTGAAGTCACTCTCAGGTATTTGAAGTACCTGGTCAACACTGGAACTGTGCACCGTAAAACATAGAAGGGGCCCTTACAGCTTGAATTTCTCAAAGGGTGGGCAATGTGATTAGAGGAGATCTGAGAAGTCCCTTTAAACACCACCACCTCTTAACTTTGGCCTTCCACGATGAGCAACTTGCAGAACACGGTCTCCTCCAGGAGGTGTTACTTAGCCTTGTCCACTTGTGTTTTATGTATTTTATTTATCCCAGCATTTCCAAAAATATGATAGTTTTAGCACAAGCGACGTGAAAATGGAGATACGTTTTTCCTCTTACTTAAACTTTCTTGACAATAGACTGTGAATCTTATGCTTACGGCACATTTTAGTTCAGTTCCTCGGAAATGGTAGTCACATTGCAAGTGCTTGATAACCACACAAGTCCAGTGACTCCCAGATTGAACAGTGCCATTCTAGAACCTACTTTTCAGAAAGCAAGGAAGTTACCCTCCTAGAAAACCCTCCCTAGCTTTCCCCCACCCACCCCCTGCCCGGCTTGTCCATTTGAATTTTGAAGAATGTCTTCAGAAAGCAGTTTCAGCATCGGCATAGTTAACGGCATAGTTGACGTTGCCAACAGAGTCCTGTTCCTTTTTAAGGCTGATCTTGGTGATTAATACATGTCTGTTCCGCCAAACCAGGATGCACAAAATTGCCATATTGTTCATTAGGCTGCCTTCATATCACAATTCCAGGATACTGCCACAAATTTCTTTGTAGCTATCCCATTCTGGTGGGCCCAACAGGTTGTAGTTGTACCCAAAGCGAAATCTCTGCCAGCAGAGTATCTGTGAAAAGGGTATGAGCGGATTTAAGCAAAATCTTTTAGACAAACATGTTAGACTCACTCACCTCTAGTGCGAAGTGAATTACTCTGAGTAACTCACTCACAGTGAGTTAGAAGTGGATCACAGTGAATGATAGAAGCCAGCCTTTTCAGTCTTCTCAATAGCACGCCTGCAGGTTTCCATTCTGACTTGAGTGGATCTCAAGAGGCATCCTGATCCTGAGGGGGTATTAATTCCTTCACCCTTTGTGTCACAGCAGCTCTAGCTAGCTGGGGCTACAGGAGAGCAGGCCAGACCTGGCCCATGCTCTCAGGGAGCTTGCATTCCAAGAGAAGAGACACGTGGGTAAAAAGTAAGGTGATAACAAGTTATGAGAAGTGTTGGGAGGATAGTAACTGGGGAGGGTCACTTTATTATGGAACATTTCAAACAAAAGTAGAATAGTACCATTATACTATCAGTGTACCCATCACCCACCTAGTTCAGCAGTTAATCTTGTTTCATCTATTAATTCCCCCTTCCACACACACCCATGATTATTTTGAGACAAACCTAGATAAATTATATCATATCATCCATATATATTTCAGTAACCATGATACCATTTTCTTGTCTAAAAAAAATTAACAGCAGTCTCTCAATATAAAATATCCAGCCAGTGTTCAAATTTGCCTGTCTCATAAATGTGCTGGTTTTTTTTTCAGTTTGCTTGAATTGGCATGCAAATGAGGCCCATACAGTGCAGTTGATTGGATTTTTTTAAGGATTTTTTTATTTATTCATTTGAGAGCGAGAGTGTGTGTGTGTGAGCTAGAGCCGGAGCAGAAGGGGGAGAGGGAGGGGAGCAAGAGAAGCAGACTCCCCACTGAGCAGGAAGCCCAACATAGGACTTGATCCCAGGACCCTAGGATCACGGCCTGAGCTGAAGGCAGACACTCCACCCAAGTACGCTGATTTTTTTTTAAGTCACTTTTAATCTTTAGGTCCTCAGGGAAGTCATTTGTTTAATTAAGATAGTCTGAGGAGACATTTTGACTAAAGACCTGAGAAATAAATGAGCTCATCAGAGGAAGAGCATTCCAGGTAGTGGGAAGTGCAAGGCAATGACATGAGGGGGGACAGATTCAGGGAAAGAAGAGGAAGACTGTGTGACCGATGCATAGTAAGCTAGGGAGAAAATATTTGGAGATGAGCTATTTCTCAAGTCAAAAGCAACCCAGAGTTTTCCACATTCCCTCACTGTATCACATAGTTTCTGAGAGCATAATATAAATGAACTAGGCTCTTTGACTTAATACAGAAATGCTGTTGTTTCTAGTCAGTGCTTTTATGACCTCTACTTTCATGGAGGGCTGCAGTAACAGTTTACCCAAGTATACACAAAGTCTAGTAACGCCCTGTTCATTTAAAATCAAATCTCGAGACAATTGTAGATTCACCTGGAATTGTACGAAACGATACTGAGAAATCCTGTGTATGCATTTCCCAGTTTTTCCCGAAGCTCCCAGCCAGAGTTCTTCCAAACTATAGTTTTCTTATAAAACTGGAGTGTAATGCAAGAGGCAGGATATGGAACTTGATGCAGTCAAGATACAAAACCATCCTGTCACCACAAGGCTCCTTCCTGTTGTAACCACACCTGCACCACTTCTCCCTCTGTGTAGTTTTCTCATGCTGCCTTTGTCTGGTTCAGGTGTCTCGTGAATACTGGCCTTGTAAAAACGTAAAATGCCTTGGAAAAGTATTCCCCCCTCAATCTGTATTCTGGAAAAGAGGGGGCACAATTCATGTTCATTCTTCAAATGTTTGTTAGAGCTCTCCAGCAAAGCTGTTTGGGTCCGTCTTCTTAGAGGCTTATCAGCTTTTTTCAATTTTTTTTTCAAATTTATTTATTTCAGTAATCTCTACACCCGACTTGGGGCTCAAGCCCACGACCCTGAGATCAAGAACTGCTCACACTACTCCAACTGAGCCAGCCAGGTGCCCCAAGGCTTACCAATGTTTAAATTCCCATTTCCCCAAGAGCCAATGTAGGCCTTGCATTTCATTGGTTTTTCTCTCTTGTTTTCCTATTTTTGGTTTCACTGACTTCTGCTCTTAGGGTTATTTTCTTCCTTCTGCTCACTTTGGGTTTATTTTGCACTTTTTCTACTTTATCAATCGAGGAACTGTGATTATTGATCTTGATTACTGAGAAGATAATGCACTTTTAACCTAAGGATCCCTAGTACAGAATACCACTTTAATTCAGTGCCCGAAGGTTTATCTCCAGATATCCCAAACTAATGTCTTTTCCTCTTTGTTCTGGCTACCAGGAATCTCAGCTTCTCTGTTCTCCTGGGTTTCTGGCTTGATTTTTACCATTTGCTCTTCATTTTTTTTTTGCTTTACTATATAAACTAACCCCATTATTTTAAAAATTAACTGTTACTTGTATTGGAAAGGAATAAATGTTAATTAACTCCTGTATCAGCTGTTTCTGGTAATGGAATTACCTCTTGTTCAAGTTTTTCTCTTGATCAGTGGGAGTTACCAATTATTCTGACCTACTCCTGATGAATACGCACTATGTACTGTACACACACACACCCACAAATACCCCCACCTCACCTATGGGATTAATTGGGGAAATGGTGTTGCTTTGAGGTATCACGGAGGTTATGATTTTTAATCATAAGTTATTCTTGGTAAGGATCCAAGCATGGATATTAAAATTTTCATTTTATGGTAAAGTATAGCCCTACTCCATAATTAAATTCCTGTGGAATATTTTTTTAAACAAGACTTACTAATTCGATAGAATATAGTTAGCATAAAATGGAGGACCACATCTGTTTTATTCTCCATGTGTCTCTGGCACTTAGAAGTGACTGACATATGAACATTGACTATTTGTTGAGTGAAGTGCCGATATGGTAGATGTGATACTGGCTTCCGTAGAAGGCATCATTATAGAACAGTAGTGATTCATTCCTTACGTGATCCTTCTGCTTTTGTTATATGTGGATTTTGACAGTCCCAGATTCTGTATCAAATTTGCATTCACATGTTCTATTCCTATATGAAATGAGATACAGGCAGCTCACTGAAATTATGTCCAATTACTTGTAAGTACTTTAGCCAATCTTATTCATGCCATATCACATGTAAAAGTAGATAATATTGACATGCCTGGGTGGCTCAGTGGTTGAGCTTCTACCTTTGGTTCAGGGCATGATCCCCGGGATCCTGGGATCGAGTCCTGCATCAGGCTCACTGCAGAAAGCCTGGTTCTCCGTCTGCCTATGCCTCTGCCTCTCTCTGTGTTGCTCATGAATAAATGAATAAAATCTTTAAAAAAGAAAAAGTAGGTAATATTTGAACTAAGGCAGTAAAACTGCTTCTGGTACTGGGGCTTCTCCAGGGGATCACCCAAAGTCTGAAGGGATCAGTGTCCACATGACCCCCACTGTGCTATAATCCATGAGCAGCATAGTAGTAGGGAAGCTATACTTTCTAGACCTCACTGTCTGTAGAAGTGTAGTATAGTGCCTTAAAATCTCTTATTTGTTTTTTTTTTTTTTTTTTTTTTTTTTTTTGCTTTCCTTCCTTTCTTGTTGTAGTGTGGAGATTGGAGAAAGCGTACGTGGAGAGGATGTCTACATTGTTCAGAGTGGTTGTGGCGAAATCAATGACAATCTAATGGAGCTTTTGATCATGATTAATGCCTGTAAGATTGCTTCAGCCAGCCGGGTTACTGCAGTCATCCCATGCTTCCCTTATGCCCGGCAGGATAAGAAGGATAAGGTGAGAGCAGAATCTCCTTTTTAAAAAAACTTAAAAAATCAGGAGAAGCACTTGCCCAAAGTCACACACACACACACACACACACACACACACACACACACAAATCCTTAATCCTCAGATGCATATTTAGGGGGTATTATTTTTTTATTGCATTCTCATAGGTATTACCCAGTGTTCAAAAACAATCGCTATGTGGTTGGTTTATATAAACCAACAACATTGGTAGTTTGTATTTGTTCCAGTCATATGTATGTGACTTTCATTTAGCTCACTATGACTTTTTAATTGTGACAGTAGGACTAAACACCAGCTACTGTGGAAAAGATTTTTTAAGCTACGGTAGATCTCCTGGGACCCTCTTGGGGTTCCAGCTATGACCTCTTCTGTAAAACTTAAAGTTGGTTACATGAATGCTTGGTCTCATTATACACATACACATCTCACCTCATTCATGTGGTATATTAGAGGTTAAGGTATACACATAAAACTTTGCCAGGACTATTATAATAATCAGTGCCCAAAGTTTCCTTACAATGTCTGGGAGAAGGCCAGATATTTTTATTCTGAGAGACTGTAGTGCTCCTACAGAGTATAAAGAGTATGGGCTTTGCTATTTTATATTGCAGCCAGCATATTTACCTGTTATTTAAGGAAGCTGAAGTTGCTGGAAGGTTGACCTCCAGATGAGTGGATGAGTGATACTAAATTACAAAATAAACTATAATTTCTATTCTGTGCTAGAGCTTTAAATTTTGACCTGTTACATGTCATACAGGTTTGAGTATGTATGTGTTAAAAGAGATTTTTAAAATTCTTGTGAAAAAGATTTTTTTAAGTCTACCTAGTTTAAATAATTGATCATTGGAACACTTGATAGGCTGAAAATGTTTACATTAAGTTAAGAAAACAAAAGGTGGGAAGGTAGTTTTCTTTTCTGAAAAACATCCTGATTTGAAAAAGTGATATTGCACTTAATATTTGTGCTAGATTGTGATTTACTCGTAAAGCCAATGGCCATGGCACCTTGTATGAATTTCCTTGTAGTGTGGTACCTTAAACATAGTAAGTGCACGATAAAGAAATGCTTCTTGACCAAATGGATTGTGTCTCAAAATGGCTTTTTGGTTTTGTTGTTCTTTTCTCCCTCCCCCCCATTTAGAGCCGGGCTCCAATCTCAGCCAAGCTTGTGGCAAATATGCTCTCTGTGGCAGGCGCGGATCATATTATCACCATGGACCTGCATGCTTCTCAGATTCAGGTATCTGGAAGCTAAATATTTGACATTGGAAAGGGACAGGGGAGAAATAATAATGATAATGCTAGAGACTGCAGAGAAGCAAACACATGCCCAAATACAGCTCAAAGTAACTAGACATTGGCATCACTGTAAGCATCCTTACCTGAAGCATTGTTCCTGGTCCTAGTTGTTTTGGGGTAGTTGGATAAGGGAGGTAGTCTGGAATTCTGAGAAGAGCAGAGGCTTTGGTTTCAAACTGAGGTTGAATCCTGGCTCTGACACTTGGCAGCTTTATAACCTTGGGCAAGTTATTTAACTTCTTTGAACACATGCCGCATTTTTAACTGTGAGTATGAAATTGATGGTAGAATGCATGGCCCAGGATGGGTGTTTAGTAAAAAGGAACTGTACTGGGTCATCATCAAATGGTCATCATCAAATTGAGAACCACAGCTATCAGCATACTTTCTAGCATAAACATAGAATAAAGGGAGCAGAATACTACCTTATATTTTGTACTGCTTAAAGGGACTTTCAGATCACCGTTGGAGGCTTGCAGCAATCCAGTGAGGTACATGGGGTAGGTGATTCTACCCATTCTGTAGAAGAGAAACTGATCTGTTGAGAAGCACCACTAATTTTATAGCACCTAGTATTGGAACACAGATCTCCTGATTTCTCTTTACTCTCTGTGGCCATTTATAATAGATATATTCCACTAAGCTTGTGTATCAAAGCATCTCTAACTGGGTTAGCAGTTAGCTGTTGCTCCCTAACAAGCCAGCCCAACATTTGGTAGCATAAGGCAGTAAGTATGACCTCACAAGTCTGCATGTTGGGCCGTTCTGGTATGGGCTGAATGGGCCGATCTTTCCAAGGGCTCACTCTCACGTTCCTATGAACAGCCGTGGGTTAGCTGAGGGCAGGCTGCTTCCCTGTCGACTGGCCTCTTGTGCAGCCCAGGCCTGAGGAGCCCATTCTAGTCTGCTACACTGGGCATGACTTCTAATCTGTTGGAATGCTAACAGGAAGGTATTCTTTGGGCAAGTTAGTAACCTCTTTGTATCAGTCATTTGTAAATGGAAGTGCAGAAAACAAAGCAAAAGTGACTCAGCTTCTTTCTTCAGGGCTTTTTTGATATCCCAGTGGACAATTTGTATGCAGAGCCAGCTGTCCTGAAGTGGATAAGGGAGAACATCTCTGAGTGGAGGAACTGTACAATTGTCTCACCTGATGCTGGTGGAGCTAAGAGGTATGGCCAGAATGCTTATTATTCTCAAAGAACTACAGAAATCTTTCAGACAGTTAGATCAGAAAGTAATATTTTTCTGGCTAGTGACAGTTATTTTAAGTACGGTTGACCCTTGAACAACATGAGGGGTAGGGGTATCGACCCCCGCCACCTATGTGGTCAAAAAACCACATTAACTTTTGACCACCCCAAAACTTAAGTACTGGGGGCCAACTCTTAACTGGAAGTATTCCCAGTAACATAAGCAGTCAGTTACCTATCCTGTATTTTATGTGTTTTACATACCATATTACGAGAAAGCAGGCTGGGGAAAAGAAAATGTCACTGAGAAGATACATTTACAGTACTGTACTTCAAGAAAAATCTGCTCATAAAGTGGACCTGCACAGTCCAAACCCATGTTTTTCAAGGGTCTGCTGTACTTCAGAATGGCTGTGGCTGGGACATGAGCCAGATGTAGTTTTATTAACCCTCTTTTACTGGCCTGCATCACTGCCTGAAAGACAGGACAGCACTAAGTGGGGTGGAGGGCTTAAATAGTTACAGAATCATAGAGCTTGACTGAAACCTGTGAGTAGCCTGGCACTACAGAGCTAGCCACACTGTACAACTCTCAGGAATGGTGGGAAATTTGGATTTCTAATGAATGGCACCCGCTTTCCAACCATGTGCTGCTATTAGTGGATGAGTAGGCCTTTAGACTCGTGATGTTCATTGGTTAGACCATCTTCATTCTGGCATTAAGATATTAAGCAGGGAAGGAAAATAAAGTGGAGGGACTTTATTTTAAACCAAGACCATAACATTTTATAAACAAACTAATGGCCAAGGATGGCCAATGTCAGTGCTCTGCAGCTCACGTGGCGCACACTAAGAGTTCTCAATTTCCTTAGAGTATCCTTTGTTAGTAATGCATTCAAAAGGATGACATACGTTCTTGTTGCAGAAATAGAATGAAGAAGCTACAAAATACAGATGACTAGGAAAAGCTCATTCAGATCTTTCTAAAGGCCATTCAAATTTTCAGTGACTGTTTCTCAGTTGCCTCATTATTTCAGTAACTTCAACAGAACTGTTAAGCTGAGAATTTGGAGTTCATTATCCAGCTAGACAGGGCTTTTGTGAGTCTCACGTAATCGCTAGTCATCATCTGTGAAGCAACAGAGCCCAAAAACCATCCCTCTAATGGTAGTGGTCAGACTCAACTTGTTGGGCATTACTTTCCCACCTTGCCACAAGACTTGGGGGAATAGTCGTGTTTGAAATAATCCAGCAGGATTTCCTCCCCAAAGTTGGATACAGGAAAACTGCCTTCAGTAGACAACATATTGCTGCCTTACTATTTTGTCTTTGTGTGAATAATTTTCTTGTCGTGGTGGAGTATTTTCAGAGTGAGTGGCTATCACTTGCTATCACTTGCATCTTGGCAGGGTTTTTGGCATAGGTGGAGATCCTGTGTGATGGTGACATGCACAGAGTTCTCCTCACAGGAGCATAGGGAGTAACTTGGCCCAGACCTGCTTTGTCTGTATTAAGGTTGTTGGCCATTGAGTCTGGATCATCTGGGATGCTTGAGCTCATTTGATTATGCATTTGTCTTGGATAACTAAATGTTCCAAGCAGATTGGTTATTCTTTTTCTATTTATTTATGATAGTCACAGAGAGAGAGAGAGAGAGGCAGAGACACAGGCAGAGGGAGAAGCAGGCTCCATGCATCGGGAGCCCGACGTGGGATTCGATCCCGGGTCGACAGGATCGCGCCCTGGGCCAAAGGCAGGCGCTAAACCGCTGCGCCACCCAGGGATCCCCAGATTGGTTATTCTTGATGCCCACTGCCCTCACAGTAGTAATGGAGAGCACAGGGTGTGGTTCATTTAGGTCAGGGTACATATGCTGTCCAGGTTGTGGTTCAGATCTTATGTTTTCTATGACATGGTCATGGGTTCTCCTCTACCCAGCACAGACTCTATTATGTGACCATAGTCGCAGCAGAAACCAGACATAATGCTCTGGTTGGGTCAGTGCTGCATTAAAAAGCAAGACCCAGGGGTGCCTGGGTGGCTCAGTTGGTTAAGCACCTGCCTCCAGCTCAAGTCATGACCTTAGGGTCATTGAATGGAGGAGGATTGAGCCCCTCAGTGTGCTCCCTGCTCAGCAGGGATGTCTGCTTCTCCCTTTCCCTTTGCCCCTGCCCCTACTCATGTGTGTGCACCCTCTCTCAAATAAATAACCCTTAAAAAAGAAAAAACCCAGAACATAGGCTTTACTCATGGTGAGGATGGCACAGTGAAGCATGGGCCTACATGTCACTGGGGCAGCACGCTGTCATTCACACCTAGTCAATTTCTGTTTGAGTGAATTATATGGTACTTTGTCATTAGAGGTCCATCGTCTGTCTCACCTTCTAGATTGGTTCATATTGTTTTGTAATAGAAAAATAAGACTGATGCTTTGATTTGGAGATGACTTAGGGCTGTATAGCATGATGTCCAGTTTTCTCAGCTAATTAGTATGACTTTCTTTGTAGCACTCCTAAAAGAAACTTCCAGGCTTGGTGTCCAGGTACAGTTGACAATAACAGTTGGTGGATCACTGAGGGGAGTATGGTGAGAGCATAGGCACTGGACCAGGCTGGCTCCTCTCCGGCCAGGTTCACATTCACTTCTCACAACATCTGCATGACAAATTGGGACAATCTGTACACTCCCAGCCTTCGTTAATAAAGCTTTTTCTCTTTCCCCTTCTGCTGCCAATCTATTAAATGAACGTGCCTGAGCATCATCCTGCTTCTGGGACTGGTGAGGCATCTGGCTCTCCCCTCACTGTAAACCAGAATTAATTATAATCCACGTCTGACTAATATGCTTATAAACTGCTCTCAGGATATGGAGGCATTCGTCTATAAAACCCACTTGGTGCCATTGGCCTTTGAGCAGTCAATCAATTAGAGCTGTTTTCTTCCAGCCCTGGGAACGGTTTGGTTTCAAGGAGTATTCTCCCCTGGAAAAGGAGCCCATTGTTTAGTCCCAGGCTTTCGTCTTTAGGAGCCCCACAGCCATGGGCACAGATGTAACTGCGACCACCCTGTTTTGCAGAGTGACCTCCATCGCAGACCGGTTGAACGTGGACTTTGCTCTGATTCACAAAGAACGGAAGAAGGCCAATGAAGTAGACCGCATGGTGCTGGTGGGAGACGTGAAAGATCGAGTGGCCATCCTAGTGGATGACATGGCTGATACCTGTGGCACAATCTGCCATGCGGCCGACAAGTGAGTGTGGAAAGGTGGGGTGGGTGGTTAGAAGGGAAAAGCTAGTCACTGTCTCCATTCCCTAAGCCTGCTGATTGCTCCTCAGAAGTGAACCGAGGGGGATGGTGACTGCCTTTGGGAGTTAGTACCGTAGGCTTGAATTGCAGTATGCATAAATTGATGAATATTTTACTTTGACCCCCCAGATTTCCTTAGTTTTATTGTGCTAAACTGTATAAAGATTTTATTTATTTATTTGTGAGAGACACAGAGAGAGAGAGAGGCAGAGACATAGGCAGAGGGAGAAGCAGGCTCCTTTCAAGGAGCCTGATGTAGGACTTGATCCCAGGACCCCGGGATCACCACCTGAGCCAAAGGCAGACGCTCAACCACTGAGCCACCCAGGTACCCTGATAGTTTTTAAAAACAAATTAAAGTTGGGCACCTGGGTGGCTCAGTCATTTAAGTGTCTGCCTTGGCTCAGATCATGATCCCAGGGTCCTGGGATCGAGTCCTACATTGAGCTCCCTGCTCAGCAGAGAGTCTGCTTCTCCCTTTACCCCTCTCCCTGCTCGTGTTCTCTCTCAAACACCCTCAAATAAATAAATAAATAAAATCTTAAAAAAAAAACAAAGTAGAAATTTATGGGCCTGAAAAGATAGGAATTGGCCCTTAATGCAGATTTGAATTGTGTGAGTCCACTTACATGCATTTTTTTTATTAATCTAGTGAGGAACTGTAAGTATATTTTCTCTTCCTTATGATTTTCTTAATAGCAGTATCTTTCTTCTAGCTTACTGTATTATAAAAATACAGCATATACTATAACACACAAAGTATATGTCCATGGACCATTTATGTTATCAGTAAGGCTTCTGGCCAACAGGAAACTATCAGTAGTTAAGTTTTGGGGGAGTCAAAAGTTACGCTCAGATTTTTCAGCTGTGTGTGGGGGGTGGTAAGTGCCTCTAACCCCCTGTGTTGTTGCAGGGTCCACTGTATTCTTCTATTTATATTTCACCTAAGCCAGAAACCCTGGCCTTACCTCTTGACTGTCCATTTTAGCTGCTACCACCTTTGTTCATATTATTTCTCATCCCTTGCCTGCACAGTTCTAAACTTCCTTCACTCTGTTCTCTCTGCTGCTAGTCACCAATCTCTTACCTCCCTAGTCCATCTCTCTCTCATTGCCTCCCCACTTGCTCATCTGTCCAAAACTAAGGCTAGAGCCCATCACTCCTCTCCTTGAAAACCTTAACTGGCTCCCTATTGCTTATAATCCACACCACTGTGGAGAGCCTTGTTTCTCATCATTTTTCCTTAACCTCAGGGTGTCTGTGCCATGCACGGGGCCTGGCAGATAATAGAGGCTAAGAAAATATTTATGTGCTGAGTGATTCCTGACTGGGATCCTGGAGTATACATTTATAAAATTCATCTCATCCTTGTATGATTAAGGTAATGCGAATTGCTATAATAGATCAACTCCCTGAATGTCAGTTGATTAACATGATAGTTTCTTATTCATGGCTTAGGTATCCCTCTTTTGGTTTTGTGGTGGTGGTGCATCTTTAACATAAAGCTTCCAATATTACCTTGGAAGACATTTCCAGTTTGGCCAGCCAGAAAGGAAAAAAAAGCATGGGGAATCACCCATGGAAGATTCTTCTAAGCCCAGCCAGTGGTAAACATTACATCTGCCCACATTCTGAGAGCTAGAATTAAGTCACATGGCCACTCCTAACTTTGCAAGAGAGGCTGGGAAATGTAGTCCAGCTGTGTGCCTGGGGAGGTGGGGTGGAAGGTGATGGATTTTGTTGAGCATAGTAGTCTTTGCCAGACTTTTACAACGCTAATCGAACTTAGGTAAGTTCTCAGTCCCATTTCTCTTTGCTGTGAACTAAATTGTGTCCTCCCCTAAAGTTCATACATTGAAGTCCTAACCCTCCAGTATGATATTTGGAGATGGGGCCTTTGTGGGGAGGTAACTAGGGTTAGATGAGATCATGAGGTGGGGACCCTCATCGTGGGAATAGTGCCTTTGTAAGAAGAGATACCTAAGAGCTGGGTCCCCCCACATATGTACATACAGAAGTCATGTGAGCACACAGTGCGATGGCAGCTGCCAACAAGCCAAGAGAAGAGGCCTCAGGATGATAGCTACCTTGTCACCACCTTGATCTCTGGGTTCCCAGCCTCCAGAAGTGAGAGATAAAGCTCTTGTTTTTAAGGCACTCAGGCTGACTAATGTACTCCTCCCCACTAACTCAGGTCCTCTAGTGATAAGTGAGAATAATGCAGAGCAACTCTGCTTTTTTCTCTAGACTTCTCTCAGCTGGAGCCACCAGGGTTTATGCTATCTTGACTCATGGAATCTTTTCTGGCCCGGCCATCTCTCGCATTAACAACGCATGCTTTGAAGCAGTCGTAGTCACCAATACCATACCTCAGGAGGATAAGATGAAGCATTGCTCCAAAATACAGGTAAGGATGAGATTCTTGCAAAATAGGACTCTGCTACGTATTTAAGGAGGTGGTTGTCTATGTCGAATTAAGTGTCTGGATGCTGAAGATTTCCTCCTTTGCTCTTAAGGGTCCATCATCAGCAACTGAATTAAAAAAATACATATCACATGTAAAAATTCAGATTGCTAGGCGAACCTCTGGAGGACAGAGCATTAGGACTCGACATTTCAGCAGACTCTCTCAGTGATTGTGCCACACACTCAAATTTGCAAGTCCATGCTTTACAGTGTGTGTCACTCTTAACTGTTGGCCCCTGTAGACAACAGGGAAACCTTAAAGTGGTGGTACATGCCTTAGAATGTCACATGCTCTAGAAACAGCTGAAGTTAATTACCTAGGGTTCCTGTTAAAATCCATATTCCTCTGCTCCATCTGGGACTGACAAAACCAAGAGGTCCTGAGACCACTCCTTTAATTCCCCCAAGTAATTAGACACTAAAGTTCAAGGTGTTATTGCACTAAAAGGACAAGGCATCACTTAATTAAAAATGTGTTCGGTAATCCCTTAGCTTTCTGAGATTAATATGTGGAATCGGAGCATTTTTTAAGGATTTTTTACCCCCATCTTAAGTATTCTTTTTATTTCACTGCTGAGAATGCATATGTGTCAGCTCACTGCTATCTTGGTGAGTCTGAGTCAAAAGTTTCCCTCCCTTAGCACTTGGATCATTTTTTAAGTGGTCATGTTAAAAATAATCTGTGGACTATAGCTGGGTGCACGACTCACGAGGGGGTGCAGCCCCAGGGCAGCAGTTTTAAGGGGAAGGCCCCTCGTTGAGCTGCTCATCAGTGTCTGCAAGGGATCCATCATCTGTCTGTGTGCTGCTAACCTGATGCCCTTCTTGGCTCTTATAGGTGATCGATATCTCCATGATCCTGGCAGAAGCCATCAGGAGAACTCACAATGGGGAATCAGTTTCCTACCTGTTCAGCCACGTCCCTTTATAATAGAGTAACTGCTGAGGCTTTTTACAAATAAAGTGAACCCCACCCCTTTGTTTTCCCCCTTGGTATTTGAGGACAGATTCAGCAGAAGGCTCAGCTTGCTCTGGTGAAGCTTTCTACACCCCTCATCAGGGTATATTAGTATTTCTCCTAAATTCAGAGAAAGCTTGAGATTAGCTGCTGAGATTTCCCCGCCTGCACCTGCCTTGTCTCATTCTGGCTTGATGCTGTGAGGCTTGAGGCTTTAACTACCGCTGAGCCCACAGCAAGATTTCAGGCTTTGGAAGGTGTTGTATAGGGGTGTTTGAATGTTCCCCTGGGGAGGGGAGAGCACAGACTACTTTGCATGTGAATACTTCAGGGTTTCCTTTGTTCAGAACTACTGACAACAAAGCCCCGCCCCCTTTCCCCCTTTCCCCCCAACCTGTGACAAGTTCTCAAAAGCCTGCAAAATGACCGCAAGAACCCTAGGCAGCCCCAGCTCAGGCTGCTCAGTCCTGTAAATCTGGAGCCAGTGGGCAACTTACAGCGTGAGCAGATCTCTGGAGTGGGGGTGGGGGGTGCCTGGGGGTAGGCAGCACACAGGGCAGTGAATGCTTCTTGAGAGGAAAAAGCCTAATCCTTCATCCCCTCCAGTTTGGGGACTGTGTTGCCTGGATTTTCCTTTGTACCTGTTCTTTCCATTTGGCTTGCCCTTCAGCCGTCTTGCCCTTCCCCTGGTCAGATGTCCTCTGGGGCACAAATGTTCCTCGTACCACAGTCTTCTGGAAAGCAAACTCAGCTTCCTGCTCCGTAATCTCTCACATTGACACGAGATTATTTTTTGCCATAGCATAATCTTCCTTAGCCCACTACCGCTGTGGTCATAGGTTTTAGGTGGGGTTGTAGTGCCTTTTGATTAATTTAAATATTTCATCTTTCTGCCATCTATTTGGCCTCTCCAATGACCCGAGATTTCTGTTAAAAAGACTGATGTTACTATCTCTTGTAGAGGAAACTAATAAAGTGTCTGTGTGTGATTGTGAAGTCTGCATCATATCTGTACTGGTCTTCCTGCTTAAAGGTTTGGCCTGGGTGTCCTGCTGCCCAGTGATAGCTCTTCTGTGTTTCCAAACTGTTGGCTGCATTGAGAGAAGACCTTGGCAGCAGTTCTATTCAACTGTAAGATCTTAAGATGTTGGGTTTACCGAGAACTAGGTATGGCGTGATTCTGCACATTGTACCTGAGTTACAGTGCATATAAGGCCTGCTGGATCTCTGGTCCTCATCCTTGGGGCTAGAAATTCAGTGCTTTCTTAGAGGAAGAGCAGTTTCTATATAATTAATCCATTTGGAACCAATTTTGCCAAATGCAAAATTTCCCTGCATCAGTAGATGATACACATGTGGCATTTAATTTCAGGCCTTCTAGTTAAAAACCGGGGAAGATAAATGTGTACAGTTGAAGAATGAATTATAATGCATTCCAAAATGTTAGGTGAGTTTTCTGTTGCCTCATCAAATAAGGGCATTCATTTACTTCTGGAGAAAGCCACATGCTTCTGGAGCTTGGTGCAGAGTGCTCCTTTATATCTTCAAAGCCTAGTTCTGCTTTTATCTGCTTCCGGTTGTGCTTTATGTTGAATATTGGGATATCAACTTTACAATCAGTCTTTTGAAAAAGTGATTCCAAAAGAACTGAGGTGAGCTCTGAAGTCTGTGCTCCCGACATGCCAGCCCTCTTTCACCTCATCAAGCCTTTGCTCTGGGAGCCCCTGATACAGAGCATCAGTTCCCTAACCTACCGATCCTGCAATTTCTCAAAATATTAGATCAATTGGCCAGGGCTTGCTGTGTCCCAATATTTTGACTCTACCATGGGCCTCCTTGGGTAATTCAGTTCCTAGGTTGAGGTTTTAAGGTCATTCAGAAAAGACCCTCAGTCCCCAACTTTGGCTCCTCTGCCTGGGGGGCCGGGGAGGGGGGGTCTGTATTCAGTTCCCTGTGACACTCCAGCAAAGTGCCATAAGCACCCCAAGGCCATTTCTGGTTTTTTCTTCTAATGGGAGAGCTCCATGCGTCCTGGATGGCACCAAGGTCTAACAGGCCTGCTTATGAGCAAAAGGCACCCCCAGCTCCCTCACCTTCCACCCTCAGAGCCAGGGGAGGGGAGATTCCTTGGAAGAATGCTAACCCCACAGAGTCCCCAAGCTAGTACCCTTATAAAAAGATTCATCTCAAACGGGGCTGCTAGTCTCCCTGCCATATTTGGAATAGAAGCGTTTTCTGCTAGAAAGCTTATTCAGTTTGCTGTTCATAGCATGTAGCCCCTGACCTGAGGGCTATTCAGATCATAGAAATAGCCCAAAGTTTTGTTTTTTTTTTTTTTTAGAAAAAAGGAGGCGAACCTGTCCCTCCCAGTAATTGTGCCCCCTGCCATCTCTTACTCGCGCTTGTTTGCAGGGGGAGGGGAAGAGGCTTCTGGAAAGGAATCTGGTTATTGGTGGCACCTCCCCCACAAAAAACACTGGAAGTGAGGATGAAGGAAGAAGGTTCTGCGATGCTGCTGCCCCACCCCCCTGACTAAAGACTACAGAGGGAATAAATGCCCTGTTTGTGAAAATAGCCATTACCGTCAGGAGGGGGAGCCAGCCTCCTACCTTTCTGTCTGTAGCTCTAGTCTCCAGCCAGATGCCTCTTCAGTTGATTGGAGCCCTGAGCCCAAGCTTCCCTGTTCCTCTGGCTTCCCCTTGCCCTGCTCCTGCCAGGCATTTTGCTTTCCTTGCCAGTGGTAAGGCCTTTTGCAACCATCCTCTAGGGATGCCAAAGCATCCCCCTCTCCCTGCCACCCATCACATGATAACTGAGGTCACCAGAGCCATCTATACTGCCCTTGCAATAGCTGCAGATGGCAGAAGGGGGATTAGAATTAGTACAGCCATAGGGCAAGAACATACTGGAAGTTAGTTCACATCTCATCTTCAGGCTCAGGATTGACCTTGTGCCTGTTAGTCATTTGCTGCCTCTTGCCAACTGCTGGCTTTCCCAAAAGGCTGTTCTTACAGGCTCAGCCTTTTGCAAGTGATTATCCAAAAGAGTACACCATGGTATCTTCCCCCAACTCCTCTCCCTACCACCACTAGGCCTCCCCCCCCCCCCCGCCCGCCAGCCCCATAGCTGCTTAGAACAGGTGGTTGCTGCCATGACGTCATGGCATCAGGTCATGGTTTAAAGACAAGAATGCTGCAGTTCAGGACTCTAATCCCCCCTCCACACACACACACACACACACACACACACACACACACACACACACTATTCCTGCCAAGTTTTGAGGCCTGTTTTTCTCTTGCACATCTTTTTTTCTACTAGTCTGAGAATCCTTTGTATAAGAGTAAAGGAAATTCTACCCCAAATCCTGATGGATACAGTTTAGTGTTCCATAAGGCTCTGATAAAGTGCTTCTCCTAAGTCCCTTTTTTTCCAAGTCTAGGTATTTGTGGGTCAACTGTAGGGGAACTAAGATAGCCACAGGCATATTCATGCCAAAGACCTGGGGTCATGATTGACTAGTTCTCTCCACGGCCCCTAAGATTGCAAAGGGAGAGAGGCCTGAGTGGCTCAGTGATTTCTGCCTCTGTGTGTCTCTCGTGAATAAATAAATAAAATCTTAAAAAAAAAAAAAAAAGGATTGCAAAGGGAAAAGGCTTGTGGGGGCCTGGACAGATTCCTACCACCCCACCATCCCTGAGACCACTTCATGTCTCAGCACCAAGGGCTACAAGAAAGACATTTCCTCCAGACCTACCATCTTCCACTTCTTTTTCTGCCTCCCTCTCCTGCCCGCACACCTGGATGCCCCTAGCCTCCAATGTTCCTAAGTAGTCTCACCGTGAAGTTTCTTAGGCCCCTTGTCCTTTTTTTGTCCTTTTTGAGGACGTTCCCTTGGTTTTTTGTTTTGGGTTTTTTTTTGGGGGGGGTTGCTTTTTATGGGTTGTGTGTGTGTTTGCTTGCTGAGCAAAGTGGAAGGAGACAAAGGGGCAAGGTAGGATATTTTTGTTTTCCATCCCAGCCCTTGGTCACCTCGCCAGTCCCAGAGACTCAGAGACCTGGCTGGCTCTTTGCTCCAGCTTGAGTCCATTTGAGTGTGATCCTCTTTGTTGCTGGCCTATCATATGCCCCACGGTGACAGGCTGCTGTCCCTGCCCATGCTCCAAGCCACCAGAGTGAGGCCCTTCTCCATCTTTCCCTTTCCCGAGCTCCTTTCCCCAATGTATTCCTCCAGTAGCTCTACTACCAGGTATAACATTACAAGTGGGGGGAGGGAAAAGCTCATTTTGGAGCAAAATCAAACTGCAGCACCGCCACAGGCTTAATCCCATAACCCCCCAAAACCCTTTGTGTTTTCAGCTGGCTCCATTCTTAAATTTTCCAAGTCCCCACTGCCACACAGCATGTCGCATGTCTACTCACACTGCAGCTGGGTCTTGTTGCTTCACCCATATAATTGCCCTGAGCTCACATCTTGTGGTTCTGATCCAGGGTTTGAATATAAGACAAAAGAGGGCAGCCAGGCTTGATCAATCCATTTTGCAAGGGCAATGCACCAAGCAGAGGTTTTCTACCTCCGGCAGGGAAAAGCCACACCACCCAACTTCAGTCTTCACCCTTAATGTTCCTGGAGTAGGGCCTCTGGTGACCCCGTGGATGGGGACCCTGCGGGGCAGTAAGGGCAGCAGCCAGGCTGGGGAGGAGCACGATGACGGGAGGGCTGCCCAGGAGGAGTTGAAGCTTGGCTGAGGACACCTCTCTCTCCAATCCCTTTCCCCGCAGCCACCGCCTGGCCCCCGGGACCTGTCACTGCTGCCCAGCTGCCAGCAGGGGGAGCCACGCGGGCGCTGGAGGAAAGGACACCTGGGGAAGATGGCACCGACTCCAGAGGCAGGAGTGGGAGTCTGTGCACCCGCTGGCCCTCCGGGGCCCCTCTTCCCTGTAGCGTCTCCAGCAGCCAAGGGAACCACACGGTGCCCAACTCCCGTTCATTCAGCAGATGGGAAGGGGCGCACACACAGTCTAAGTGTGTAACTCGAGATGTTTTCACCAACCAAGCACTGTGCTAAATGCTAGGAACGCAGCAACGGATCTGATCACATCCCCCTTCCCGGGGCCCTCTGGTCTAGACAGGAAGATGGGGCATTACCACTGGGTGTGATAAGGACTGTGAGGAGAGGAAGAGCAAGATGCGATGGGAGTGCAGGAGGGGGGCACCTAAGCCAGTGTTGAGAGTCAGGAAGACATCCTGGAGAAAATAATTTTGACTTTTGAGGCAGTTAATTAGAAATTCGCCAAAGGGGAATGGGGAGAAGGGTCTTTCCAGCAGACAGACTAGCATGTGCTTACGTGGGCACCCTAAAGAATATGGGGTGTGTGTGTGTGTGTGTGTGTGTGTGTGTGTTTGGGGGTAGGATGGGGAGTTGTGATGAGGGATGGGGCTGGTGAGACCAGATCATGAAAGATCTTAGTAGAGTGACTACACACACCTACTGTCCCAGTGTATTTATTGACGGCATCACCTTTTGATCTCAAAAGTACCCTGGTTCAGATAACAAGGCAAGCCTATCATATGGTAACCCTACTTGCAGAAGACCTACTATGGTGTTTGAACTTTTATCCTGGCAGCAAAGAGGACCCACTGAGGAATTTAAGCAGGGTGCTGGCTGGATTGGAGTCACAGTTTAAAACAGACTGGCAGTGAGATGCCTGGGTTGGCTCAGTGATTGAGCATCTGCCTTTGGCTCAGGTTGTGATCCCAGAGTCCTGGGATGGAGTCCCGCATCGGGGTCCCAGCAGGGAGCCTGCTTCTCCTTCTGCCTGTGTCTCTACTCCTCTCTCAGTTCTCTCATGAATAAATAAATAAAATCTTAAAAAAAAATAGACTGGCAGTGATGTGAAGAATGGACGGGGTGGGGGGCGAGAGTGAAAGAGGGAGGTCAGGTAGGAAGCTGTGCAGTTGGCCGAGGGGAGGTGCTGAGGACAGCCAAGGTGAG